ATAACTAAGATAGTGTCATCTGTGTATTGAACAATGGGGAACTGGTCCAGCTCAAATGATGGAATGGGCAACTCAAACAGACCCTGCTGATAAGCTTTGTTGACAATGCATTGAAGGAGATCCACAGCAAGCACAAAAAGGAGTGGTGACAGGGGGTCACCTTGTCTAACCCCACGGCGACAAAGGAAGTGGTTGCCTGGCACACCATTCAGAAGGACTGAGGAAGAGCCAGAAGCAAGAATCCTCTCAATCCAAACTTCAGAAAATCCCAAGTGCTTCATCATCAGCAAGATTGTATTGTGCTCAATTGTATCAAAAGCTTTTGTAAAGTCTAATTTCAGAATAATAAGCTCTTTTTTGGAATGTTGGCATTGATAGATGTACTCATAAGCCCAGGCCAAACAATCCTGTATTGTTCTGCTTTTTATGAAACCATACTGGTTGGTATGAATAAGAGGGATTATTTTAGCCTGATTGATGTGTTGCCCCCATATAGAATTCTTGTGCACTGAACAGTGAACACAATGGTACAAAAATCATGTTGCTCATGAATTTGTGTATGCTCCTGTTAGGCTCTCGAGGATGCTGAGAAAAACATACTTACATTGAGGCATACACTTGCTGGTGATGGAGAAGTAGGACCAAATCAAGAGCAGGTTCTGCAGATAGCCCTTGAGATTTGCAAGGAGGGTGTTCTTTCCCTCTTTGTTCAGAATCTTCCTTCCTTGGGTTGGGAGGTATGTTATATTCACAAATTGAATGTGATAACCTTTTTTCACTGTGTTATTAGTATTAGCTTTATTGGTTCTATCTTGCAGGCTAGAAAGGATCTTGTCCACTGCTGGTGTATTTTGTTGAGACAGAAGGTTGATGAAGGCTATTGTTGCGTCCAGTATATTGAAAATCATTTTGATCTTTTGGATTTCCTTGTTGTTTGGTAAGGCCTATTTCTCAAGTTATGAATTGGAACACAGCCAATAGGAGCATGCTGATTCGTTTCTTGGTGGGAAATTGGGAATGCAATTGCAGAAATATATAGATGACTGATTGTTTCCTGTAGCTATTTATTTTTACCACTTATATTTGCATAATTGTATTATTTTGTGTGTTTGTTTATGAAATGCACCTGTAGTATATGCGATAGTTTTACCACTTCTACTTGCATTATTTTGTGTGTTTGTTTATGAACTGCTCCTGTAGTATATGCCATTGTAATACTCTTGTGCCTGAGTGAGTTAACTATGTTCTACCAGCTACAAGAACTTGGAAGTTGCGTTGAATTGTGGGAACATGTTGCGAGAATGCATAAAATATCCTACACTTGCAAAGTAAGGCTTGGAAATATTTGTTCAACTATATTTTCTATTTCTTAGTGGCTCTGCAATAGCATACAGTTTCAAGCATATATGCCTTCGCCTGACATGTCTGTTTTTTAGAACCTCTGGCCCTCTGTAGTTGCATGCATGGACAGATATAGTACATAATACAATCACCAAAACAAGCAGATATGCAAATGTACTCTGCAGTATGCAGATGTTAGATTTTGCAATAAAACTAAAGCAAACAGACAAATTGATGATTTAATTTAATTTTGCAAATGATTATTTTTTCATAAATTTGATTTTGTAGTGCTCTTTCAGATATATATTGGAGTCAAGTAGCTTCGAGTTGTTTTTCCAGTATGTTGAATTGCCAAACTTCGATATTGCTTCTGATGCTCTGAACACCTTCAAGGTAAATCTAATCTTGTCAATTTGTTTTTTTAAATAAAAAAAATGGCTTTATGTTTGTTTCTTCAGGATTGATGTTTGCTGTTGACAAGATATTTGCAGGATTTGCTAACCAAACATGAAGATCAAGTATCTGAGTTTCTGAGCTCACATTATGAACAGGTCAGCCGAATGATACCTTTCTGTGGAATGAATGAAATCCATAATTTTAATGTTTATTCCAAATAAATAAGAGGACCAGTAGTTTTCCTCCAGCCTGTTCCTTGTATTTTGTATCTTCCTACATGCCACCTTTTGCATATGTTGATTAGGCTTTTAGGTGCTGTTTGGTTTCAGCAGTGGGAATGGGAACGCTAACGTAATCAGTTGGCGGCGCTAGCTGTTACAGGGAACCGTAAACGCTATATGTTTGGTTCGCGGTGGGAGCGCTACCTGTTCTTCTTCTTCTTGTCCTTCGGGGAAGAGGGTTGCTGCTTCTTCTTGACTGGCGAGGCCGCGAGGGCCTGGGTTGTCTTGGCGTTCACGGCCGGGGCGGAGGCCGGAGCCGGTGCCGCGACGAGCATCTTCACGGGCGCAGAGGTCACAGCCTCTAGTTCCTCAGCAGTGGGTGTTGCTGCGGGGGTCTTGGGCTTGGACGGCGCCGCCGTGGGAGAGGGGTTGCCTCGGCAGTGGGAGTCGCCGCGGGGTGTGGCAGCCTGGCAGGGACGCGGAGGAGGTTGGGACGGAGCACGCATGCACGAGGAGCCGAGGATGGCGGCGGCGGTGTTGATTTTTTGCGACTCCGGGACAAGATCCCGTTGGGAGCGGAGGGGTAATAGATTTCTACTGGGCTGCATCCGTTAACACTGCAATTGATTACAGATGGGTCCATCGAAACACCAAGCAACGTAACCCATTTACTCCGTGAATCGTTGACGGGCAAAAAATGCGGAACCAAACAGCACCTTAATGAATAATTTTTCTTTTGTATTGCTAAAATTTTGAAGCACTGATCCATTGTAAACATGTGCAGTTTTTTGGACTCTACACAAAACTTTTATCTTCAACTAATTACGTGACACGAAGACAATCGGTGAAGGTTAGACTATTTAAATTGCAATTTCTTGTAGGGTACAAAAATATGATGCTTAAAAGAACTTTGCTGCATGCCAGTTTCTTTCAGAGTTTCTGTTGGAGGCCCCAAATGCTCAAATAATGAAGCGTTACATTTTGGAAGTTCGTTACTTAAACATTATGATGGGTCTTCTGAAGGTATTAGAGTATTAGTTATAAATTCCCTGTTTATATTTAAATGAATCAGCAATTATATTGATCACCCTTCTCACTTCCTTTGTTTCTTGATTTTTCATCCAAGTAGTTATGACATTCTAGTGCCATACTGCCATTATCTAGTGAAAATAATGGTGGTTGTTATTATCACAATACATGAGAGATCCTGCTATCTTTTACTGGCTTTTGGATATCTTGCCAAGCAAAGGTCATCCTGAGAGGCTGATATATACGTACAAAACTATACTCTTGCAATTGTTCTTTAGTGACTACCAGAGATCCAGCCATCCAGATCTAGATGGCTTTCTGTTTATAGCTAAAATACATAGCACCATTATTCATGTTGAACACTATCATTTTATTTCTCCGAGCTATTTATGTACTGCTTGGGTGCCAGTCATCTTGTCTCTAACAGTGAGTATTCGAGCTGTTTCTACTTTTCTTAGTTTCTAATACAAAAGTAGTTCAAATATACACACTTGCAAGAAGCCAGTGCTACAACTCTTCTCCTTTTAAGACAACTAAGTGATGAAAACAGCACAGGTTAGTCATAGATAGTTTGTTTTCATCTTCATAACTAGTGCCATCTTTTCATGCCTATACACATCCTTTTTTAATGCCTCTACTAAGTACTAACTGGTGTCTTTTGTAGGATTCAAGCAAAAATATCAGGATATGTTCCTTCCACATTTTTAAGGTAATAAGTTTCACACTTGAAAGTTTCATACGTTTACCCTTGCGGTGGCTTCACACTCGATCGGGCCTTGCTTGGGTTTTGAAATTTTAAGTTGGATTAGCTGTTTGTTGTTAATTAATCATAACTTAATGTTAGCACTATGCTGTTACCATTTTTTGGAGGTTCATTTTCACAACATGGATGCAGGTATTTGTTGCCAATCCAAACAAGCCTCGTGAGATTATTCAGGTTTTGGTTGACAATCACAGAGAACTGTTGAAGCTACTCCACAATCTCCCCACAAGCAAAGGTAATGTATTGCGACTTCCATCTTAACCCTAGCCATATTCTGTGACCAAGCAATTGTGATGCTAGTAATAGAGTAACCAAATATCATAACTGGAACTCAATGTTAAGATTTCTGAGAGATGCACATTGGAGCGCTAATAATGTGTCCCATTTGGCAGGTGAAGATGAACAACTTGATGAGGAGAGAGATCTAATTATCAAAGAGATCGAGAAGCTTGTGCGGTTGTCAGTATAAACCCCTCAGGAAATTCAAACATATCCTTTATGTTGATGTTGAGGAAAAGTCAACCCCTTTCTCCCCTCAATATTTTGAAGACATCCTTCCTGTGTAATATGCTGCCCTGTATAGAGCTTGTCTTTCATATATGGAAAAAGTTTGGCCACAAATTGCATTCTCCGTGAGAACACTTAGCATTCCTATCAGAAATTTGTTGACGTGATGCCGATACACTGGCAGCAAAATTCGCAACAGGAATAATCTGCATTATGCTGTGGTGTTGATACCATTAAGGCCTTGTTTGAATATATATGTATCCACTTCAATCCACATGTGTTGGAGTGGATTGAAATGGAACATAGTTTAATTCTACTCCAATCCACTTCAACACATGTGGATTAAGATAAATATATATGCATCCAAACACGGCCTAAGTATTGTGGTGGGAGTGTCTGGCATTTGAATTGGGTTCACTTGTCATGTAGTATATATATTTTGAATTTTGATGCCTAACGTTTGCAATTTCTTGACAACTTTTGCGTGAGATTCAAGGCACAGGACACACACTATACAGCTCAAATTCTCAAGGCCAAATACGTATACGAATACGAGTGAAAAATAACATCTAGAAACATTTTTTCTATCCCTTCTATACCTGATACCTGTCACGTATGGTATACTTTATATATTTGCAATTGGTAATTTGGGGTTGGCGTGATAATTTACAGGAAGGAAGGAATTGAATCCGATCGATTTGGATTTCTGAGTGGAGCTGCGAGATGGCTGGCTGCGTGACGTGTCACAACGGGCGGAAGATAACGGGCGCGCCGTGCTGCGGGTTGAGTATCATGAGCACCCTCGGCGCGTGCACGTACGCCGGCGACAGGCGGAACTGGCAGCGCTGCAGCACCAAGGCCAAGGCGATCTTGGCCTCCATGAGCGCCAGGTACTGGCCGATGCACACCCGCACGCCGCCGCCGAACGGCATGAACGCCATCTGCTGCCGCGGCCGGCGGTCGCCGCCGTCGTCTGCGAAGCGAGCGGGGTTGAACTCCGTGGCGTCGGCGCCCCACACGTCGGCGTCGTGGTGCACGGCCATGATGGGAATCATGACCTCCGTGCCCGCCGGCACGACGCAGCCGCCGAGCTTCACGTCCCGCGTCGCCTTCCGGATCATGGCCACCGCCGGCGGGTAGAGCCTGAGCGTCTCGTTGACGACCATCCCGAGCGTCCTGAGCCTGGGGAGGTGGTCCTTGGTGGGGACGCCCCGGCGGCCGCAGACTTCGAGGACCTCCCGGCGAGCGCGGTCCTGCCAATCCGGATGCATGGCGAGCGTGACGGTGGCCCAGGTGAGGAGGCTGGTCAGCGTCTCCAGCCCGGCGAAGAAGAAGTTCTTGGACTCCTCGATGATCTCGTCCGCCGTCATGGCCGGGGCCATGAAGCTCATGAAATCCCTCATGCCGCCGGCGCGCCCGTGGTCCCGGCCCCGGTGTCGGTGGTCGTCGTCGCCGCTCTGCAGGCCAGCGACGAGCTTGGCCAGGAGGCTCCTGATCTCCCTGTCGAGCTGCCACACGTGCCTGTTCCTCCTCGTCGGCAGGAACCTGTAACCCGGGATGAAGACCTTGCTGTGCGCCTCGGTGGCGTAGCTGGCGTGCTCGGCCTGCAGCCGGAACACGGCGCTGCCCTCGTCGCTGTTGCGGCCGAACGTGGCGATGGTGATGGCCTCCTTCGGCAGCCGCTGGTACCACTCCTCCACGTTCACCTCCACCTCGCCGGACCCGCCCGCGACCGCCGCCGACCGTAGCAGCACGATCTCCTCCAGCATCCGTTGCACGGTGTCGGCGACGAAGGGCGCGAGCAGCTTGAGGTTCTCGACGTGGAAGGCGGGCGTGAGGATCTTGCGGCGGCGCGCCCACTCGTCGCCGTGGAGGTTGCTGAGGCCGAGACCCTCGAACTGGCGGATCAGCGGGTGCGCCTCGTACCGGTCGAAATGCTCCGATGGCGACAGCAGCACCTCCCGGATCAGCTCCGGCGAGCTCACGATCAGACGCGGCGTCCTCCCGAACCAAATCAGATGCATTGGACCTGCACGCGTATATACATTTGCATACATTAATTTGCATGCATGCGCGCCTATATATATATATAGTTAACACAAACTATATAACTCGAATCAATTATTCTTATCTTTTTTTAAAAAAAAAACGTCTTACCAGTACGATATGCTGGTTTTTCATCATGTGTTCTGTATGAATATATAAATAAGGGATTTGCTATTTTTCAGGTGCTTGAAAAATAGCATCTAATCAGGCAACGGTTGTGAACCATGAGATGAAGATCTAACGGATCTAAATTCACACAAAGAAATCTTAACAATTATTTCTATTGTAAGAAAATTACAAAATTATGATCTAAATTGATGCAAAGACAATTAACAATTCTTTCTATAGTAAGACAATTACAACATTATGATCTGAATTGACACAAAGATGTACGAATCTTGAAGCAAGATCATGTCATCGCCTGAACCAAAGACATAGGAAAAGTGTATAAACTAATAAGCGTCGTCTAGTAAATTTTTTGACAAAATAAAGCACACACTTCGCTCGAGTTGTTGGCACATATCTCAAGTTTTGATCATACAATGCAAGTTGACATATGAAACTAATCATCCAACGTCGAATCAAGCAGGGATTAACGCATGTGATACCATGCATGGCAAGGCAAGGCAATGATCTCTCTAGCTCTACTGGCCGGGTTGCTGTGGAGCGAAGCTAAGCCAGCACTTAACTTGAGTGTTTTCATGTGGACAAATCACACAATTCATTAACTGACTAACAAACAAGATTCGTCGTCCATCACTTGGATCAAACGCAGATGCGTGCCTCTATAGCTAGCTAGCTAGCTAGGGTTGTCCTTTCCATATTATACTCCACAGACCGTTGAAAAACAGCGGGAATTATCATCGATCTCCGCAAAGGTTAGCATAAACTAATCGCCTCAACAGCGAGTAACCAACTGCATGCAACTGGTTTGGATCCTCAACTGAAATGCATGCTGTATATCTGGCAATGTCATATATACAGAGAGAGCAACTGAAGGAAGCACAAAGCAAGCGTGAAGGCATGCATGTGCTCTACCTCTGGATTGCCGGACGGATGGATCTACATATGTATATACATCCGGCTCATATGTAGCTAATCTCTTGAGATTACCAGTTGTTAATCTACTCACATTATCATTGACCTGCATGCATTGACAGCCTGGTGGAGAGATGGATGGATCATATACTTGCTGACAACATACACACACAGCCAAGGTTTGACTTGGGAGGCGGTTTTTTAATTTGCAGATGAATTTGTTAGCTATAGCTTGCTGTCATCACTAGCTAGTACCAAAAGTGATGGAGGCAAGTAGTGGCGGTAGGATATATAGGAATGTACGTAGGAGTAGTACCAAAGTGAAATTAAAATGAAATGAAGGTCACCTAATCGAGCATAGTTTAGAGTTTGTGCTCTTGTTTCTATTTGCAAAAGCATGGAAGCATGTCCCCTCCTTTCCTGCGGTTTACGCGTGAGCATCCACACATTTGTATATGTATACGCGCAAATGCACGCTTTTCTTTTCTTGTTTAAGTTTCATTCATGTGAAGTTGGAACTAGTAAACCTGTAAAGTTGCACCGTTGATTTTTGTTTCTTGGCTTGTCCGAAAAAAAAAAGACACAAAGAAACCATAACGACGACAAAGAAAATAAAAAAGTTTTGAAGAAAAATGGCAAGGCAGTAGCTAGTTGGGAATTCAAATTCGATGGACAGATCAATCTCAGTTCGTAAGAGAAGAGCTGGATTGATCGAAGATGGAATTAGGCAACAGACGAAAAGAATTGACGGCGGTGTTGGCGAACAAGCACAATAATAAAATATAGTTACCGTAGAGCTTCCTCCAATGGTGGTAGAAGGCGAGCACCCTGGGGAGGACGTCGTGCGGCGCTTGGGGCGGCGCGGGGCGGGAGGAGGCGTCCACCATGAGGCGGACCAGCTCGATGGAGCTGCCGAAGAAGAAACGGTAGCCCGGCCCGCGGACGCCGTGGCGCGCGAAGTCGCGCTCCAGCCGGCGCGGCCGCCACCACAGCGCCTCCATGAGCCGCGCCACGGCTAGGTGCAGGCACAGCCACGCCGCGGCGGTGAGCGCGGTCGCTTGCCACGACCACGGCCACGGCCACCACGTCATGGCGGTGGTGGATATGATGGCCGGGGCGGCGGCACACCGGCGTGGAAGAAGAAGCAAGCGGAGGCAGCTGCTGCCCCGCGCGCGGCGCCCTTTGGTGGACGATCGAGGCAGGAGGCCGCAATGGCGTAGTAGTACGCCTTGCCGCCGCCGTCGCCGGGTTAATATATATATAGATAGCTGCTCGGTGCTTGGTGCTGCTGGGCAACTGCAGAAGCAGAGAGAATTCTTGGAAGGCTGCGACTGCGGCTCTGCGAGCGAAATTTGATTGAATTGAATAATAATGAATATATACCTTACTGTCGTCCAGGTTACTGCCATGGAGTACATTGCGATTTTTTTTGTTTTCTCCTTATTAATTAACATTTTAAAGGGATGATATATTTATATTATTCTTCTTTCCTGGGTAGGTGAGTAATGGCCACAAAGTTTGAAACGAATGAAAGCATCCTATAAGATTCAAACATATATACATGGGGCCGGCCGGCCATGTCGTTGAATCTCGGATGAAAAAGAGGTTTCATTGCATTGGATTTACATGTCCAAAATCCAGCCAGTTGACGCGCGCACTACTTGGGCCTCGTTTGAAATGCGGGCAGCTTACATTACATACTGGATCGTCGGAAAGGCAGAAAGAACGTAACGATATGCTGCTATGTCCTTGCTTTACCGAACCGCACTGATGCTAAAAATCTATCTTTTTTGTGAAAAAAAAGAAAAGAAAGAAGAGCGAGAGCGACCAAGTCATGTTGAAGGCAGAGACATGTTTGTTGTGTTCAAGTAGTCGTCGTCGTCGTCTAGCCTCTAGCATGCCTTTTCAAAAACCACAACCCTTTTTACCTGCCCAACATATCATATGTATATTTATATATAAATATATATATATACGGAGTATATCTTTGCATTGAGGTCTCCCTGAGGTGGGGGCCGCCTGCAGCAGTTGTTGTGGGTTGCGGCTGCTTGTTGTGTTGCTGTCCCTCCGGCCTCCGGGAAAGGCGTGGCGCGCGGGGGGTGCGGTGGTCGGGGCCCTGTCGCCGCCAGCCGCGCACAGCCTGGCCTCCCCACGCTGCCACGCACCGGTCGGTAGCTCCGATCCCCTTCTCATTCCTCTCCTTAATTCCTCGTTTCTCTCTTTTTTTTTTATTTACACAGAGTTGGAAATTTGGCTACGGTAGCATTTTCGTTTTTATTTAGCAATTAGTGTTTAATCATGGACTAATTAGACTCAAAACGTTCGTCTCGCAATTTCCAACCAAACTGTGCAATTAGTATTTTTCGTCTACATTTAATGCTCTATACACGTATCGCAAGATTCGATGTGATGGGTACTGTAGCACTTTTTGAAAAAACTTTACGAGAACTAAACAAGGGCTTATATAATATACAACTATACTCGTATGCTTCTTGCTTTTATTATATACTCCGTCCGGTCTATTTTATCTTACGCACACGTATATCAAGATTCAAAGTTTAAAAACTTTAATCAATAATTAGGCTAATAACTTTTAACTATTATAATACAAACTTTATATGATTAGATTTATAATGAATTATACTATCCAATGATCATAAGTTTATAAGCATAAATAATATAATATAAAGCAAATGAATGATCAAAGTATAATCTAGGAGACCGTGTTATTCAACTCACGCCAGATAAAATGGACCGGAGATGAGTATTTAGCATCTCGATCGTGAATATATATAGTATAATTCATGATGCATAGCACTGTACAATACGTACGTGCTTTTATTCCGTCACCGCTTCACGCTGTACCATGCATAGCAATACATAGCATAGCATGCATCCCACATCCTCTGGTCCTACCACGCATTCCTTCTAGATGGCATACATGTCAGATGATGATGATGGATGCAGTAACAGCATACATGTACGGACTGCTTGTGTGGTTTAGTTTTGTCTCTCCTGTGCCGTGATGCATATATGCGTTATTATTATATATATGTCGGCCTGTGTTTGGTAGAGATTATCAAATACGGTTTAATTTCACAAAGTTGTTTTCTTCAGTACCAAACAGTAATTTTGGAACAGTTTTCTCTAAAAGTCTGCCAAAATATGCTCTCAAATGTCTGGGAATCCTGATGAAGCTGAAAATTGATACTATCTTCTCTCAGTTTACTCTTTGCTATATTCTCTGTTTTACCAAACTTTTGTTTTCAACTGCCACTGGTGAAGAAGCTGCTCATAGAACCGAAGCCAAAAAAAAAAAAACACACCCTTCACTAGTGAAGCTTATATAGTTGCATATATGTAATCCGTCCAGCTTCATGCAAATTAACCAATCACTTCGATCGGCAGAGTAGTAAACAAGCCACCATTCATCATGTATCGTCACACACACCACACGGTCCGGTCTCTCTACACATATACTTCCCCCATCATCTTCGTTCACAAGCTAGCTGGCTTGTTCTTCAGCTGATTATTGTCGTAACCGTCGCCCTCTCAAAGTCGTCGTTTCGTTGTTAATCCCAGTGGCCGGCCGTTCGATCAGGAACCCATCTATAATATCACTTGCATTGTGTATGTATAGTATAGTATATATAATATGTATACAAAACATATAAAAACTACAAATATATTCTCTCGTCGACGCCGCCGACGAATCGTGATCACCCGAACCTATTCAAAACTACTCCGTATAACTTCTTAAACACGAAACTAACTTGGAACGAACAGAGAGACGGCAGGACGTAGGCAATGCGAAACCAGCTGGTCACCGCTGCCCAGCCCAGCATGCATACGTACGCCAACGCACGCAGCCGCCGTTGACACTGCGATGCGATGCGATTGCGAGGGAGAGGCGGCTGCAGTGCAGCCGCCATGCATGATTGCGATTGCGGAGTTTACCTTGCTTTATTTTCATTGCTGTGGTTTATTATACGTGTATGTAACCGAGCGCTATCGTATGATATGATGATATCAGGTGCCCAGGTCAACGAGCCTGCCTGCGTCGACAGGAGGGTGCAGGTGAAGCTGAGCGATAGTCGAGAGCATAGCTGCTTCTTTTTTTTTTTTGGTTACCCTTCCTCTTTCTTTTTTATATAAGGGGGGCAGACGATGGGCGTGGGAATAGATCAATGGACAATGGAGGGACTAGCGGCCCTAGGCTCTGGCAAACAGCAATTGTTGTTTACAGCTCTGAGACTGACAAGGCGGCCAGCCAACCAAGTGTAAGATGCATATCAACGCGGGAGCCCAGCGAGCTTCTTGTGAGAAAGACCTACCGACGTGGCCAGTGTCCGGACGTCCGGACACTCGCGCAACCCTCTCCCGTCCACCTTCGCCCCGACCCTGTCCACCTTCACCTCGCTCCACGCGCGCACTTCACCCTGTCTTTGCACCTGTTGATACAAAAATGTGACGATATAATCAACACACAGCAAGCCTAAAGATCTAAGTGAAACAAGACCAGAGATTTGCTTGGCTTCAACACAGAACTAGCTGATTCTAAAAATCCAACGACGTACGAGTCAATTTGACCTACAATTAACAAGAGAGAAAATCTTATCAGTAATTTAAAGTGAAACATGTCGGTGTTGCACCAAACAATTTCAAATGTATGGCTAGATAGCCGATTCAATGAGGCTATCGACTAAATAGTCGATATCTAGCGTATCCATGAAACGAAGGTCTTTAAATCAAGGATTATCGGCTAATATTAAATGATAATGATACGAATCAAAATAACCGATGCTCATGGAACATCAGAAAGCATCATCGGCTAAATGGAACATGATTGATATAAAGCGTCGAGCCAATAAGTTTAATGAAAAGAGTATAACATGCGAATAAATCGACTATCTAATATAAATTGATTCTACAAACAGTTTTGAGTCTAATCTATTATCATCAACAGTGAGATTCGATCGGATCGATGCAACTATGATAATAATAATAATAAACTAAAGCCAAATAATCTATAAAACCATCTATATGTTGACAGATTCATAAAAACATGCTATATGCGTAAGAGTATAGGCAAATTGGCTAAAATAGTCGATGCAGTCATAGCAAACAAACAAAGTATATATCTTGATCATGAACAAGACCACTAATCAATAATTTCTAATCTAAAGTCTTACCAGTGAGGTTCGACCGGATCGATGTAGCTATGGTAGTGTCATTAGATTAGATCTCATTAACTAGTGAGTTTGTTAAAGATTGAAACATGTCTTTGGATGCATACTATGTTTGACTGGAATAGAAATAAAACAGCCGATCTAGCGGAATTAAGCCATCAATTATAACATTTGAAGCATGATCAGATCAAAGGACGATCAATTAAGATGATATGATGCCGATCTATCTCTATCTCAATTGGGTGATTTTGTTATAATTAATAAAACATTAATTATAGCAAAATCAATAACTGGTGAATCGACCAAAAATAGCAAGGAAATTCTTACTAATCTTAGCAGATTCGATAACTGGCGATATTGTATTAAACAACAAGTTATTTAACACAAGATCGATAACTTTGATCTATATTATGATTCGTAAGAGATCAATCAGCTGATGCAGCTTTACGAACTACAATACAGATCGATAACTAACTTATATTATGGCTCATAAAAGATCAGTCAGCTGATGTAACTTTACAAGCACAATACAAGTCGTGACGGTACTCACAAGCAAGCTGGAGGTTGATCAGTTGATGCAGCCCTGTTTGCTGAAGAACTCGCTGAGATCTACAGTACTCCTACTCCAAATGCGATGACGAAAACCGGAAAGATTGTATTGATTGAATGTTCATCCCTTTTACAATAACCAGGGTCTAATATTTATACCCAGAACATAAACATGAATTCTACTCAAATACGACTCATTACAATTCTTGAAATAAAAGAAATCTTCCTAACTTAATAATAACTTGGACCATAATTTTCCTTATTCGTAGAGTCCGTCCGACACATCTCCCTGGCGCCACTCAAGTATAGCCCATTGACGCCGTCTGTTGACGTCATCCATTAAATAGTCGATTCTGACATTACATCTAAATCAGCTGAATCAATTTTCATCTAATCGATTCCTTGATGACACAATCCTGAAAGCTTCGGGTTCTCGCGTTCTCCTTCCCAAATTTTGGTGTAAACAGCGCCCCTGACCCTCTCCTCTCTCTTCGCACGAGGAGCACCCAGCACGTCCTGACCGCAGCACCACCGTCTACCGGCCCCCATTGCCCATACGCAAGGCCAAGCCAGTCCGCTCGGCCCCGACCGTACAACATAAAACACTTGCAACATGAAACACATTTGAATGCAATATACATCTGAAAGTAGATGAAACATTTAGAACATGTACTTGCAACATGTTTGTGAAACACACGAAACATCCAGATTTGCAACTTGCAATGTGAAACCACTTGCTGCAACATAAGACTGAAACAGCTGAAATATTTAGAACATATTGTTGCAACATATGTGTGAAACATGTGTAACATCTAGAAAAAAAAGATTGCAATAGACGTCTGAAACAGATGAAACATTTTGAATAAAAGCTTGCAGCATACCTCTGAAACACTTGCAATATATGCTACATGTGCAACATCCCCGATCTACTTTTGCAACATTAAGATGAAATAATTGCAACATACATCCAAAACGTCTGAAACACTTGAAACATACTCCATCCGTTCTAAATTATAAGTCACTTTGACTTTTTTGGTACATCCATTTTGTTATGCATCTAGATATAATAATGTGTCTAGATACATAGCAAAATAAATGGACCAAAAAGTCAACACAGGTGGCCGTCACATATGTAACATAGGGGAGAGAAGGCCGGGCTAGTCGATTCGGGCCGTCGGGGTGGGGAGCCGGCGGCGAGCCACAGCGCGCGAGCACCACCAGCACCGGTCACGCTCGTGGGTGCCCTTGGCTCGGTCGGGGAAGACCTAAGGCGCCACAGCATGTGTGCCCCCAACAGCCATGGAGAGGTCAGCGGCGTGCCCAACGGCAATGGACGACGGACGAACGGCGAGGGAGCGAGCGACGCATGTGACTGCCACGTAGGTGAGCGGTGCAGGAGGCGAGGGTGCGGCGAACCGGCGATGAGGGAAGAGGCGTCGCGCGGCTTGCCCGGCGATGGGGAAAGGAAGCGGATGAGCAGCCACGCCGAGCGGCGCAGGTGGTTGTCACACAGGTGAGCGGCGCAGGGAGTGAGGGCGCGCGGCGCGGCTGGCGATGGGGAAAGGAAACGGTAGCAGAGCCGACAAACGCGCGCTGGAGAAGGGGCGGACGGATGATCAACCACGCTGCTTTGAAGGCAGACGGATAAGCACAAGGAAGTGGAGGTGTGGGTTTAAAAGGAACGGACGGATAAGCATAAGGGAAAGAGAATTTGTTTCTTTATTTGGAGCCCGCTTCTAGGAGCCGCGTCACGCAAAGTCACGAACGGACGTCCTACATGAAGTATTTCCCAAGAATTATACTACGCGGTGCAAGATGCCTGCAAATCCCATCCAAAATACTCCGCAGATACGATCGGTAGCATTTGGCAGACAAGTAGTTTGTCTCTATCCCTTTTTCTTTTGTTTGGTATATTTTTTGGCTTCTCCAAAATACGATGTGTGACATCAGTCGCTGAGCGAAGCCCGGGCGTTCAGCAGGACAGGATGAATGTTCAGAATAGTGTCAACCAGGTCACACGCCAATGCAGGAGAAGATCGGCGTACGAATAGCATGAGCAGAATGCCATGGACGAAAGAGCTCCAGCTTTTCCTTGTCGCACACATTGGGCAGTATATTTCTGAATTCTGAAACCTGATGATGATGGTGATGATGATATGCAAACTCTTCCAAATGGGGTCAATATGCCCTCCAAAAGCTAGTTCTCTAACAAAAGCATAAACAGAAAACCTGTATTTTCTGCTAATAAAAAACACAAAGAAGAAAAACATAAATACTACATTTGTTGCCTATTTGTGTCTGATGAAGACCCTGTTAGACATCAGTTAGACCGGAGAAAAAAACAGGAGGGCACGGCAAAATTTTATTGAACTACTTGGCACGACAAAAAGGCATTGTTCAGCTCCGGGGCGAGAATGTGAATGTGATCACCAAACAGATATCGTTACAGAGTAATTCTTCCGCATACACGCCAATATGCTCCAGGGTGAAAAAGGGACCTCTCAAACACCCAAATGTCTTTCACAAGTACCTACAGAATACATGCAGATACCAGAATTGATCATGAGAATGTTTAACGCTGTATGCCTGGTTATTACATGTCGTTATGAATGGGCAAGAAAATAAAATCCTGTATTCCTTTGAAACGTATAAAAAAATCCTTCTTAAGTACGTATGCAGCACTTTGTTTATCTAGACTAATACTGAAAGCACCCCTGCTTTCTCCCCTACATCGACCAAGCTTATTAGTTATTACACACAGGACTACACATTCATTCGATTAACTTCACCTAATAGCACAGGTAGAATTTGTGCCCTGCCTCCCTTCTACAGTTAAGAGCCCTATTACAGCTATTGTGGCCCCAAAGCACCCTAAAAATCACCTGATTAAACTGTGCCTTGTGTACACAGTTACTAGTAGTCTCCATATGGAGCAGTTCTTAATGGATAGTGAATAGTGACTGAGGCTGTTAGGCATAGGCTGTGGACATGCGGATGCTCTCACCGCTGACAAATTTTTTTCCCCTACAGAGTTCAGCTAAAGCCACTTGATATTTGACTTCCTGAAAGTGCAGTCGGATAGAACTGGTGAAGGTAAACCAGCTATTTGACTAGAACAAAACTGATTGTCCACTGCACTATTGAATTAGTTGTGCGGTGAATCATGCTTACGATGGCGTGTTGAATGGGTTATCTTAACAGTTGCAGACAAGGAAATCATCTCTAAAAGTATCAGCCAGTTCTTTGCGGGTAGTTGGCTAAAAATGCTAGTTTTTCTCCAGCTCCTATCTAAGCTACAGCTTCCTGCAACTAGCTATATGTTACTGCCGGCAAGGCAACTACCTAGTTAAGGAGATCAGGCCAGCAGCCAGAAAAAGCAAGGTTCTGGCTATATCCATCACCACTAATTAGAACCAGCATAACAGCAAATACGACGTCTCTTTAACACTTGCCAGAGTGTTACTTGACAAGTTGACATTAATGTAATATTGGCATGCATAAAGTGTAATCAGCCGGTAAAACAATGTAAACTAGGTCAGTGTGGAAGACATCCTGACTCCTGAGGACAAATTGAACAAGGAACAATTAAACTTTGATACACTTGTAAGCAGTTCTGAGGATTAGTTCATACACTTGGTGTTTTCTAGAGCCTAGCTAATCTTAATCTAACTTGTTTGACACTACAATTTCAAATGTTCAGGCGTATTTAATTTACCTCCTTTGACTTGTCTCCAGACACAACTGCACCCTTTGAATTATAGGCTTCAAATTTCTACAGAAAAAAATAATAAAGATTGTTCACAATATGTGCATGAAGCACTACATAAAACAATAGATTACTGCAGATTTTAAGAGCTGAGATATTCATTGGCGCTGGTAGCACATCACCGGGGAGTAAATAGAAAAAACATACTCATTTTTGCCGGAGTGTTTTGATTTTTGAATGTAGAAGTTATACATATTCTAATTTTGATGCTTATTTGTTATTAGGGATGTTAACTTCAAGGACTTACTTTAATGATACCCAGATGTAAGTTACAAAAAAAGGCCAGAATTAACTTAAAAAATGCTGCATACAAGCACGTCATGAAAGCAACATATTCGGCACCAATGAGGTTTCCAGAGTAGATCTTATTATCAAGAACAAAAAAGCTCAGCATCAGAACAGTAATGGATTGTACAGGGAAAATAAAACATGAATATTGCAAAGATACACAGCTCTCATGATTGTCCTGTGTAAACAGGAGATATTATCCATTTTCAAGATAAAGAGCAGGACTTAAAAGTGGAGAGCAATTAATGAAGATACAAGCTATGAAACTTAGATAAAGAGACAGAACGCAACCAGTGAATCATGTTCTGCATCAAGCCAATAATTCAAACACAAACAAACGTAGGTATATATGAACTGCATTAAATCACACAAGAACTCTGAGAGAATGAAACCTGTTTTGTAACAAACTCAAGTGTAAGCTGTATAAAAGCTTTATCGAGGTCATTCTTATCGAGGCCAATCTGCAAAGCAAACAACATTCCAACTGTATCCAATCAGGAAAATATAGTACAACAAATATAAATTTATCAGAGATTATATTGGAGTTAAAAAATTAGCATGTACACCTTGATCTTAAATAGGTGTACATACCACAATATGTTAATTCGTCTATGGAACATTGGAACGTACAGATATACAGTCTAACAGAAGTAGCTTACCATGCGAGCCCTCAAAGTTCTGATACTAACAGCAGGCTCCACCAGTTCCCAGTGTACAGAATTCCACATGGAATGTCTTCTCTTTAGTTCATTTTTTATAGTCTTCAGCCAAAAAGAAAAGAGGAAATAATAAACAGCAAAATCCTTGTAAATCATCTAGCTTGAATTGATGGCATGTTGAAAACTAAGGGCCTTTTTTAATGCTGTAGTTTTCAGAAACCATGGTATTAGAAAACTGTAATTTTAGAATCTAGAGATGTGCAAAACCAAGGTTTAGAAAAAAGAGGTCTAGAGTTGAGTTTCTAAAACTCCAAAAGACTACAGTTTTAGCATATCATGGCTTTCAAAATTACCAGGCTTGTTACATTCGAACACCTCATGGTTTTCCAAAACAAAACTATTACACAAAACCATGGTATTTTCTAAAACTAAAAAAAAAACTTAGCATCTAAACAGGGCCTTACAGAATGCATCCTCTCGGTCAGAATTTTCCGGAGCGATGATGTGTCTCCATGTGCCATCAGAGTGTTAACCTGAATCAAGTAGATTAAACAATGTGAGCAGACACAGGCATTTCACAGGGGAAAAATGCATCATGCACTTGTACTCTGTTTCTAGTTTCTAAGTAGATGTTACCCTGGATTCTTGCACAAGCATGAGGGAAATAGCAATGATGTGATGATCGTTGCTTGATGAACATATTCTGTACTTTCCCATGCTAAGAGGGACTAATTTCTCTTAGAAAGATATATTTTGGTTAATGATCAATTGTGACTGGGGTAAATGTAAAAATTGCAATAGCAAAATGACATATAATATATATCTAGCAGCAAAATGGAAAGGCTAAAATGACATATGTTTAGTAAAAGAAGATAGAGCTGATGATATCAATATGACAATAAGAACTTCAATTTGTGTCATAGGGCTGCCACTGGCATATAAACAGTATTCATGGGAGGACACTGTTTCTTTCAAAAGTTGGAAGTGTTAAAATTATAAAACTTCATGATTAGACTGTGTTAATACAAGTCACAGGTGCTATGCGCTCAACAGCTGCAAGATCAACGCTGATCTTGCAACTGTTGCAATTCAAAAGATGAAAAAAAAAATCACCAGCCAATGACAGATTAAGGCAACATTGGACAGAAATGTTAAATGGATCATGTTGAAAATTTCTGTAAAGGCCCTGCAAATCATCCACACAATGTGATCAGGACAATGGCTACTTCATTACTAGGCTAATAGCTGTTACTACTAATCTGTCTGGGTGGTTTATTAGAACTAGCAAAGAAAAACTCAAAAACATAAAGCAAGTAGATCAATAATTTGGACAGTCAATTTACTAAATAGCTAATAAACCTATCTAGTTTCATTGATCTTGTCTTCTCATGAAACTATATACTTGCCGAAACGTGTTAGGTATTATTTCTTATTCTAAGAATTTAAACACTGCATAAACCAGAAACCAGATTAGCGGTACATGCAAGCAAATCTGAAACTCACACCAATGTAGTCTAATTTCTTAAATTATATGAGCAGTTTCCAACAAATAAATAAGATGTACCTCCTTGTATATTTTTAATGCTTGGTCATAGAATTGCTTTTTGGTATACCCAGTTTTCTTCCTCAGCCTTGAAACAGCATATGCGTTCTTCATCTGTTAAGGCACCTAAACTAGTCAGCAACTCAGCACACATTTGGTGCAAGAAAATAGCATAAAGAAAAATAGGTGATCAACAATCAAATATCTGAGATCCTCACATCACATAGGTGAAAAGAAAATTACGAAAAAGGTGAGTGGTGACAGGACTGGAATATTGGATCAAAAGTAAGATATCCAATCGCATCACTCTGTCATATAAAGCATTAAACCACTGTAATAAGCAAATTTGAGAAGAGAAAAGAAATCCAGAGATTTATGAGCCTAAATCAGTACAACCAAGGAGCTATGGATTTCTGATAGTATATCATGGCTCTTTACGTCATGTAAAGGAACATTGTTATGCCTCTTGAATAAGCATGCACAATTATTTACAGTATATACACTAGGTTGATTTCAGCAGTGGAGCACAGGAGCATTGTGCTACCAAGGATGAGAGAAAGTGAGCATTTGGATTTCAAAACCCTGAACTAAATTGCTGAGAAAAGATGAAACAACAAATTGAAATCAAAGTTGATCACCAGAAAAACGAAAGGTAACTAATGTGGAAAGTAGCTTTTGCAGCAGAAGTTTTTCCATAGAAGATTCAGTACCTCCAAAATGATGTCCTCCTTTGTCCTTCTCCAGCCACTTAGTGTAAACCATCTAATTCAGAACAAATCCAAGTTGAAATCACAAGTTCTTTCTTGTCATACAACATGAATTATTTTCAAACATTTGAATTTGTAAGACCATATCATGTTTGTAGTTTGTACCTTTCGGAACTAAGGCAACAATTTTGAGTATACTTAATGCAGGAACAGACATAATGATAACACTAGCATCTTATTATCCTTCATATTAAATATGATACATATGAAAGGGTAGAAAGAATGCCTAGATGCCCCTGCTCAATGAAGCATGTCTTGTATGGTTAGCCAGATTGTTACTTGTTATGTTCCTTCCAGCAAAAATAATGTAAAAACTTAGCCACTTTAATGGAGATGAAACCCAAAAGAAAAATTCGGTATCTGGGATCGATGCTACAGAAGGATGGAGATATTGATGCGGACGTTAGCCATAGAATCAAAGCAGGGTGGATCAAGTGGCGACAAGCTTCTGGCATTCTCTGTGACAAGAGGGTACCACAAAAGCTAAAAGGCAAGTTCTATAGAATGGCGATTAGACCGGCTATGTTGTATGGAGCAGAATGTTGGCCTACAAAGATTCGACATGTTCAACAACTGAGTGTTGCAGAAATGCGTATGTTGCGATGGATTTGCGGTCACACAAGAATGGACCGAATTCGGAACGATGATATACGTGATCGCCTAGAGGTAGCACCAATTGAAGAAAAGCTTGTCCAACATCGGTTGAGGTGGTTTGGCCATGTCCAAATGATACCTCCAGAGGCACCAGTGCATTTTGGAGTCCTAAGCCAAGCTAATAATATGAGGAGAGGTAGAGGAAGACCGAAATTGATATGGGGGGAGGCAATAAAAAGATATTTGAAAGCTTGGGATATACCTAGAGATCTATGTTTGAAAAGGAGTACTTGGAAAGCATCTATTGAAATGCCTGAACCGTGACTTGGGGCTCTTGGTGGGTTTCAACTCTAGCCTACCCCAACTTGCTTGGGACTGAAAGGCTATGTTGTTGTTGTTGTATGTTCCTTCCAGCAAAAATAGGCCTTATCCTACAATGCTTGTGGTCCAACTGCTTTAAGTTTAAGCGATAGTAGATTTACAAATATTAGTCAAACATATGGAAGTGGAACGTGTAGATACGTAATAACTGATATTACATAATATTATTTTTATAACAATTATAATACAACAGCAGCAAAGTCTTTCAGTCCCAAGTTGGTAACATTACAATTTTAACAGAATCTGAAATACTCCCTCCATTCTAAATTATAAGACGTTTTGGTTTTTCTAGATACATAGCTTTTGCTATGTACTTAGAATACACTAAAAGCAATGTACCTAGAAAAGCTAAAACATCTTATAGTTTGGAACGGAGGGAGTACATTGCAAATATGAGGTGCAGATCAAACTTGTGTTCTAAAGTTATTGTTAATGTCCAAAACATCATTTGTTAGTCGCTAGAACTAGCAAGAGATTATAGGTCTCATGCACATAGCAAATCGATGTTTCAAGATATTTATTCACTAGCTAAAACTTTCAAACAAAATTTCATTCTTTTGAGGCATGGTGAACTATACCAGTCTAATGGTAGCTATGTACTGCAGCAATAGCTGATATTCCTCACACAACCAGATGAATAGAAATAGGCATTGAGTGCCATATTCTGAAATCTCTAAGGATAATTAGAATAACACATTGTCAAAATATATACTGAAAGAAAAACCTTTTCCAGAAGGGAATGCGTTCCCGTGGGCTGTACGGCTCATATACAAAACCAGGACTCATCATGACAACCTTCAGACCAACCTGGACATATATGTAACAAACATAACTACAATTAACACAGTACACATCCAAGTGGAGAAAGATGAAGAAAGTAAATCAGAATGTTCTCTCACACCTTCCGGGCTCCAACGGGCACCTTTGACGGTGCCGCCGCCGGTGCTGCTGTTGACATCGGTCTAGCATGATTCAAATGTACTACAAGATCCAGAACCTGCAGAAACACAAACTTGTGTAACCAAAATTGAGCAAGAACAACAAGAAATTTCAAAACGCATAGCACTCAATAACTCGAACCTTCACAATGTGGGCTGGCAACGGGCCCTCGAGCTTGTGGCCAATCATGCTGCTGGCATTGTACGTCAAGCTTGCAAAACCTAATTACCAATTGATGAGATAGACTGATTGAAATGGAAGTGCATGCAGGACTTAAACAGGAACAGACGAGCAATGAAGCAAGCCATCACCCGATCACCTCTTACGCATACGCCTATGTGGGTCGGAGAGAAGGATCGGGAAACGGCGGCATGGTAGTCTCTGAAACCGAAACGGGATCGGGTGTGAGAATCTTCGCGCTCGCGTTGCAGAAATCAATCGAGATCTAGAACGAGTGGATAGGGGGAGAGAGGGGTTACGTGGGCGCCGGCGGAAGGTAGATAGAGCGGTGGAGGCGGCCGGCAAGAGACCGTCCGAGGCGAGCCAAAGCCATCAGTGAGGAGTCTGGTGTGTCCTCGGCGACGGCGGCGGAGATGGGAGCCGGCGGCTCGACGGCGAGGTTTTTTAGGTAACGAGGGTTTTAGAGAGGTGGGGGAAATGAAATGAACAAGCCAAGAGCAGCTTATGACCCCGATTGCCCTTTATTTTCAATCGAACGGGCGGTATCGAATTTATAATAACACTACTACTATATACAAGAAAGACAAAATATCCATACGTGTGGTGTAAAATCTAATCGTTTCATTCGTCTCTAGTCTTTGTGCATTCTGTATTTGCCCGATTAATAAACTTAGAGTTTATTTTTATAGAAAAAAAAACATATTGCAATTTTCAATTTGTTAAGACCGCTACAATGGTGCCACTGCCTACTAGTAGTAGCATTCAATGGAGATCTCATAAAAACACTAAGACCACCAGAAACGGAAATATGTTTTAATCCACTATTCTTTATCAACATTTCAGTTAATACACTATCCACTACAGACTATCCATAGCATCTAGGAATTGAACTCGTGCAAATTATAGCAATTGACATGAATATAACAACCCTTAGCTGTGCTTGGCCAAGTATTTTTACAATTGTTTGTGACAGATGTATAGCCAAGACAATTAGCTCAGATTTATTATATCCAAAAAACCAAGCCCTTGCATGATAAGTTGTAATTTATCTCATTAACATGTAAGTGTTGTTTCGATGTAGACTTGAAAATCTTGTTTGGTTCAGATATCAATCTCAAGCGTCCATTTTTAACTGCCTGTGGGTGTGGGTTGACACATCTGACTTGGGCTAGAGCTCCATCCAAGTCCGTAGTAGGCTAGTAGCGGCAACTTCGACATTTGCACGGACAAAAAGGCAAAGGAGAGGGGGAAAACGTAGGAGTAACAGAGAAGAGGAAGCTGTGCAGGAGTCGAGCCGCTCAGCGCAGCGGCCTTCCCCAGCCGGAAGGGCAAAACGGCATCACGGCAGGAATACGTGTACACGCCCGTTTCTATTCCACTCCGGCCTCCGGGACAACAGGGTGGGGAAGCCTTCCGGGCCGCGGCTGACGAGTGACGGCACACGGCAGTCACCAACCCGTGCACAGCAAGCGAGAGCGAAGCCCTCCCCGGCTCCCCGGCTCGGCTCCCACCCTCGAACGAAATCGAAACGACTGCTCTCCCATCCCCTCCCCGCGGCCAAACCCACGACCAACGTCTCCGATCCGATCCAAGCCGCCATGGATTTCTTCAAGTCCATCCTCGCCGAGCCCGATCCGGACCCGGCCTCCCCGCCGCCGGAGCCGGAGCCGGAGCCTGAGCCCGCCGGATCCGCCGCCTCCTCCAGCGGCGGCGGCGGCGGCGGGTGGGGCTTTGGCGGCCTGCTCAAGACGCTCACCTCGCAGTCCGAGACCGTGCTGGAGGCCTACCGCCGCGACCTCGCCGAGTTCGGCACCGGCCTGCGCCGCGAGACCGAGGTGCTCCGCGAGGCCGCCGCCCGGGCCGCGCGGGACCTGCCATCCTCCGCGCACGCGCTCGACGGGCTCGCCGACATCGTCGCGCAGGGCAAGGAGGCGCTCTCCCAGGCCGCCGCCGCCGCTTCCGCCGGGCCCCAGGCCTCCGACGGCGGCGACTCCGACCCCAGCTCCGCGTCCGGGGCCCACGTCCGGTACAGCCGCTTCGAGGCGCAGCTGCGCGCGCTCCAGGCTGATCCGGCCACGTTCATGTCCGATCCCGAGGACGCCGAGGACTTCGCCGCCTGGAGCGAGGGGTTTAGCCTGGACGAGAGGGAGGAGGAGATCGAGGCCCTGTGCTACGACAGCGACGCGCTGGAAGCCATGGCGGACAGGCTCGTCCCGGACGCCGTGCCCCGCCAGGTGTTCTGGGCGAGGTACTTTTACCGCGTCCATAAGCTGAAGCAGCAGGAGGACGCCAGGGCGAAGCTCGTGCAGCGTGTGATCGCGCAGGAGGAGGACGAGGACTTGAGCTGGGAGGTCGATGATGAGGAAGAGGAAGAGGAAGAGCAGCACAAAGACAGCACGGAGGAGCTAGCAGAAAGGAGGCAAGAGACGATTAAAGAAGAAGTCAGACTGGATGTGGCTGAGAAAGAAAATGGGGAGAGAGTTGTAACAGAAGAGAGCAGAGTTGAGGCGGTGGAAGAAGCTCCTGGTGTGGAGAAGGAACAGAAGAAGAATGCTGTCGAGCCACAACCTGTTGTTCTCGGTAGCTCTCTGGTGGTAGTGGACAAGGAGGAGGAACGGGAGAATGCTGATGAGCCACAACCAGCGGTTCTCCGTAGCTCTTTGGTTGTGGTGGGTGAGGGTGAGAACACAGAGCCCTCCAAGTCGAATGCGGAAGAATCGGGTGACAAGAAGGAAGGAGCAAAGCATGAGACGAGTGATTCAAGCAAGGACAGCGATTACTCCATAGTGTCTAGACAACGAACGGCGGAGGAAGAGGATCTTGAATGGGATGAGATTGAGGATCTAGGAGAGCATGAAGAAAAGAAAGGCGGCACCCACACCTCAAGCCCTGCTCTGAAGGAGGAGCTGCGCAAGAGGCTGAGCGTTGCTGAAGATGATGAGGATTTAAGCTGGGATATTGAGGACGACGATGATAATGCTTGAATGCCAATGGTGGTATGGAAGTGTCAACTGTATTTCTACATTTCTTACCTTTCGTTACTCACCCAAGATACTGTGATTTGGCCAATAATGATTGGTTACTTGTGATTCTTATGCTATGGACACGTGTGCACACTGTAAACTCTCTAGTTCGATGATATCAAGTGGCAATTGGCTAAGCGTCAATCTATTATGTTATCTTTGTGGTATTTACTGGGATAGCGTTTGAACAGTTTATATCAGAACCACCATTGTCACAGGACATTTCTTTCAGTAGTTGAGCTTTGTCAAGTTACTCCAGGTAGTGGATGAGCATGATGAATGAATGCCTTGAGAGTACCTTGACCAGTGAGTACCAGAAACAACAAACATTGACATCTTCAGTCTGATTCATTTAAAGGTTATGGAGAAGTTACATATGTTTTCGAAGGATTGTCTAGTACTCGGTTCTTTTTAACTGGGAATGTCTCTTTGTATTTGCATCACCGTTTACCACTGCCACACTTAGCTTGATTTTCGGTGCACCAGATTGGAAGGCCAGGGCATCACATTTGCCTATGATTTCTACATATATATATACAGTAGGGCATGTTCTTTTCGCTGAAAAGTACTGTTCACTTATTTGTCACGAGAGAAAAACACTATACCTTGCCTGATAAGGCTAACTGATAAGTTCAATCTTTTATTCCTTCTGTCTTCTGCCTCAAAAAGAAGCAGAGAAGGTAATCTTTCTCTCGAAACTTCGAGAGCTTTACTCCTGTGTATCTGAAGTTCTTTCTCTGCACAGCAAACGGTCCTTTCGCTGGTCCTGCACTCCTGCTAGTCTCTTTTCCTACCGGACGATGATGCTAAGTTCTGCACCGTGTCCTGGACATCATATTTCTGACTACCGTTCGGTCAATTCTTGGAATCCTTCGTCCTGTTCGTTTGTTGGTTTCAGCCAGCTCAAACCAGCCGGCCAACGGTATTTTCCTTTCACAACAAACCAGCACCAGCCAGTCCAAACCAGCCCAGAAACCATCCAGCTGAACAGGCCGCTTTGATACTACCGGGAGCATACACGTTTCTGACAAAATCCATAATACTGTTTTTATTTTTTTTTTCAACGACACTTGTTTTTATGCAATTGATGTGTGGTGTCACCATACCGTGCTCAGTTTTGTTTTTTACCTTTCTTTTTTCATTCTTTCTTTCTGTTTTCATGACGTGAACCGATCAGAGATTGCTAATGCTAATGCTAATGATAAATGGTGTAGACAGATTGCTAATAATAACTTTGATAAGGGCCTGTTTCGAACGTAAGAATTTCACAGAAATCATGAATTTCGGAAAACATTTGAAAAACACTGGACAATAATTTTTCCCGCGTTTCAAACGAAGGTTTCTAAGGGCCTCTTTGACGGCTTATGCCGGCTTCGGCTTTATCTATTTTACGCAAATCGAGGCACTGTAGCGTGAAGCCGTTTTTGTAAGCCAGGGTTAAAATGAACTAGAAGCCGAAAAAAACTAGTTTTTCTGGCTTCACTGGCTTTGGCTTCACCGGTGAAACTGTTTTGGATGAGCTGTGCGAAAGAGGGCTTAAATATTCTGGAGATTTTTCAAAGAGGAATGTCATGGTGTGTCGGCCCATTACGGGCCCATAAATGATTGGCCCACGGAGCGAATCCACAAAAGCTGTGGCCTCCCTGACTCATTCTGTTCCTTCGCCTCCGTCAGGTCAGGTCAGCCTCCCTCTCGCAGATCCCCACCCGCTCCGCCGCCGGCCACCGCGTCGCTCCCCTCGGCAGCCAGGTACGCGTCGGGAAGCTCTCTCCTTCCCTTTGCCATGAACCTAGCCCTCCGTCGCGCCGATTCGTCCCCGAATCCGGAGCGGGCGAAGGGTGGGTAGCTTACCTATTCTGATTTGGTGGCGCCGAATGCATCGCCTGCGTCGTTGGGGCCGTCCCTCCGTCGGATCTGCGCTGTCGCGTGCGCCTGCGTTTTTATCTCTTTTCCTGTCGATGTGACGGGCTCTTTACCCGCGATTTCGTGATGTCGTCTTCTCCGACTTGGGTGTTCGACTCCGATCTGCTGGCTGCTGCCTATCTGTATCTTACCTAGTCGAGCGATTGGATTAAGCGGTTCAAACTCTGGCTTGTTGAATTGTGCCGTGTGGTGTAATGGTTAGCTTTGTCTCTCGAATTGCTGCTACCTTGCGATATCAAGACATTGTTTAGGGTACTTTCGCAGTATTACTGATTGCGAAGAGATGTGAAATCATAGTTTTCCCCTGCGGAATGCATGGACCTAGACACCTTAGTCTCTTGTCTTTTCATCCGGAGAGTTGGTTGATGCTGAGGTTATGATTAGGAATAACGATTGTAGAGGTTTGCCTTTGAGAAATGGTTAATGTGTGCATAACATGCTTGCAAATTCTTTTAAAGTATCGTCGAATGTGCGAGACTTTCTTGCAATGGAATTTTCTTAGAAAGACAGGATTCATAATATCATGCTTGGAAACTTTATTGATGCAAAATTTCGAATTTAATAAATATTTAATATTTAATTTTGTGCTACACTGTTCTGGTCATGTTCAACCAGGACAGAGGACATTTTGGCCAAGGATTTGCCTTTCCCCCTTAACTCTGCCCTGAGTATGTGTGCTTTGAAGCCTGTACTCTACATTTTAGTTCTGGATGATCACTTACACTACTTGTTTCTTTCCAGCTATCCAGTATAGATCAACCAGTCACCATATGATTAGACATGTGTTTACTTGCAAACCAAATTATCTTGTAATGTTTCTAAAGGAACTCGTAAAAAAAATGCTAGATTGAAGTTTTTCTTGATTCTTTTTGGACAGAAGTGATTGGATTCTAGATTGCTATTTCCCCCCCTGTTGTGATAGGTGAGCCGAACAACTAACTTACTCTGTGAGGGTTAAATGTGTTTAGGATCTTTAAAGCCAATTGTGCTTATTTTTTTATGTTTACTGTTATAATCAGTGATTGCACCCTAAGTAACCATGAAAAGTACTCTATATCAGAAGATTAGTTCAAAAAGGCTTGTTCTCTCATTATGGTAGTATAGGCTGTAAATTTATTCTCTTTTGATGCAGGATGACAGAAGCACCATTCCTGCCGTGAGAGAGCTCTTCAAGCAGCAACATTACTACCAGAACTTGACCAAGCACACCTACCTGAAAGGGCGCTACGATGTGATCACCTCCGTTGCCATCCCCCTTGCACTTGCTGCCTCCAGCATGTTCATGATTGTAAGTTTGAACTTTCAACCTTAGAGATTATTACTTGTTTAACTTTCCTTTTTGTCGTTCCCTCTCACCTGGTGGTTTGTTTCCTGGTTTTACAAACAGGGGCGTGGAGTTTACAACATGTCTCATGGGATTGGGAAAAAAGAGTGATCTTCCACTGGTTAACTAGTGTTTCTACTTGGCATGGAAGTCGTACCATCCTGACTACGAAGTCTTCTTTGCTTGCAAAATAATACTGTCAAAGAACAAGTTGACTACATTTTCGCATCATTTTTCTGTTTGTATTTGTGGATATGAAATGCCAGCAACTTGAAGATCAGTATTGTCGCTGTTTTGTTTAATTACTCCATTCCTTTCGTCTTTTGTGTATCCTTTCAATTGAAGCTGGCCTTTTTTTTCTCTCCTGATGAGGTGAAATCATGGTACTCTGTTCATGAGCTGCGCCGCTCCACGTCATGCATAAATCAGGCTGAAGCATGCACGTAAGAGGTCTGTTGTGCGCAAAACTGTCAAACCAGGGGGAAAATGTTTTTTTTTTTTTCACACATAGGAGTATGTATAAGAAATCAAACCCATTCGTTTAGCGGCTTGATGTTTCTCCACCTCCACGTAAGAACCGCACTAGTCTTGCATATCAGGTTGACGACTGTCATCTTTGTTACACCTCCACTGAAAAAGGACAGCGCTAGTCTTGTATATATCCATTTATCGAGCTTATTTTATCCAAATGCAACTGTAACGTAATAACTCAGCCTTTGGTTCTATTTTATCCTAATGCGATTGCAACGTAATAACTAAGTTTTTGGTTTTGGGAATTGGAATGGAAACGCAAGTTCTTGCTACACAGGAATGCTTCAAGCAGTAATGAACTGTATGGGTAACTGCTGGTTCGAGGGAAGGAAAGAGACAAGTTACAGATAATTCTTGCATCACTAAAAAACTACTAGATAGTTAGAATAATCTTGCACATGCGGATTAATATGAAAGGACCACATCACTAAGAAAGTGAAAATAATCTTTAACCCATGCTCAGAGTCTCACAGACTACATCAGATATTTAACAAGAAACGGGTGGGGGGCACTACTAACTGTTTACAAATATCTAGCCGACTACTAACCCGCTGAATACAGACTAACCGGCTGAGTATTGGATGCATTGTCCACCTGAAACAAAAGGAAACGCAACACGAGTTAGCTTCATCTTACATGGGAAGAAACTTCATCTCGTTGTGTTCCATCTAGCCACAACCAACCAATTGCCGCACATACTTGTACTGCAGGATAAAAGTCCTGGTTTTCTATATAAAAAAAAAGCATCGCAAATTTACAACCGCTTCTCAAACAGCATATAAAGGCTGGCAAATAAAACTGGTTCACATTTTACCAAAAGAAGGATAATCATAAATAAATACGTAGTACATAGTTAAATACAATGTTCTTGCATATAATGTGAAGTAACATGTAAGAAATGTCGAGTATAATCATCCTTCAATACATCACATGGTTGCTCATAAAACTAGCAACAAGTAGATAATTATCTATTCTCACCTCATGTGCACATAACTTGATTGACATGGCAGAAACAAATAGCAACAGACTAATAACTAGAGCAAACTAAATGTGGTAGCGCGATCATGTTTTTTAGTACACAGTCAACTAAAGACGACATATGCAGAAAGAACGATCCATGAATGGTCCCAAACCCTATAGTATGCACACGTTGCACTCCTAGGAGAAGCAACCTGAAGGCTAACAAGTAACAAGCATAAACTCAAATTGAAACCAACAGAAACTAGCGTAAGCAGCTTAACGGTCATATATACATATGCATCAGAAAGTTGAAACCTGCTGCAAATGCCAATGCTAGAATTAAAAACAAAATATGCTAAATGACCTTTACAGCCTTAAATGAAGTGAGATGCATTGTATAAAGGATCAGAGGATCACATGGCATACCACTGAGCATCTGGAGTATGTAATCCTTCTTATAGATTTCTGGCAGTGCTAGAAACATGTCCATTTGGTTTGGTTCCTTTGCGAAAATGCTTGCGGTGGTTACCACTTCAGTTCCACTAAACCCAAGCTTCAGTACTTCAGCGATGGCTGTTACTTTGGCCTTCCTCTGGGGCTCTTCACACATTGACTTCTCTTGCATTTCAGTATCATACTCCACAGCTGCTATCACCTTGCCATTCTGCGTAATACTTTGAAAATGATCAAGAGCGTCCTTGAACTGTTCAATTACTGTTGTCGAGGTGTTGACATGCTGAACAACACTCTGAAAACGACTGTGTGCATCATTGAACAGCTCCATTGCTGCTGCCATCGCACCAGCATGCTGAACGACACTTTGAAAGCGATCATGTACATCCTTGAACAGCTCCATCGCAGCAGCCATCGTGCTGGCATGCTGAATGGCATTCTGAAACTGAACATGTACATCCTTGAACTTGTCCAGAGATGGGCAATTTGATTCAGTCCTATTCCTTTTCCCGTCATGCGTGTATTTATTCTGACTCTTAGAGCTTAATGTTGCGGCCAAGGAGCGACCAGATATTCCTGTGGACATCCTGTCCTCCACTTCGTCATCTCCAACTTCGTTTGTATTTTCATTCTCCATGTTAGCAATTGCATCTTCAGACCCTTCCAACCCTTCTCCAGCAGATCTGTCCTTGCCATATATTGCATCAAATGTATCAAAATATACAAATGGGACACCATACAGACCCTTGGCTCTAGGATGGTCCTGCAGCAAATAACAAGTCAAAACAGAAACATACTATGATGAAAAATATAGAAGTGCAAAAATACTAAGAATAATGTACTCTGCAATATTCATCGTATCGTTGTTTTTCACATTGGATCATCTTTCTTGTGTCATCCCAAGAGAAGCCTGGCGATGCTAACATATCCTTGATTGAATAATACTTCCGCTTCATCACTTTCAGCCGAGAATCGACATGAGGGCTGGCTTTAATACCACGGCCAGGTAGCTTCTGTGCAAGAATGTTCTCTATGCCTTGAGAGTAACAGTTCTTGAAGGCCCCTCCTTCAACCTTATATCTAGGATCAGCAGATACCTCACACAAGGCTTTGACAAGCTCGTCGTCTTCATCTGCTGTCCACATCCTTTTATTTCTACCCCTGCCACGAACAATTCTAGGGCTTTGGCTGTGATTCATCTCTAGTCTAGAACAAAAAATGAGAAAAAAAAATCAATTAGTCTGTGTGCCTAATGCTTCGTAGCACAACATGACACTACTGAATCGCTTCAGACTATGCTGACCGAACCATAGAGAAGAGCACCTAAAACAAAGCACATGGCGTTACAAATTGGAGGGCATGCCAAGCGTCGAGATGCAGACAAGGTTGGCACTTGGGCACCTGAAAGCTTTTTTTTTTAATAAAAATGAAAGAAAGTAAAGAACTCATCTGAATTTGTGATTTTTCTTCTTTTTCTTTTGAGACGGGGTGACTTATATTAGATCATGAATGGCATATACGCATAATACAAAACAGGAACCTGGTACACAAAAAATCTACAATGAAAAACATGGCTCCTGCCACCAAAACCCCGAGCACATCATCGACCCGGAGGAAGAAGACACGATCTGGAGCCGCTGCTAACTCCACCGGCAAACTCCTACAGATCTACTAATAACCTACAGCTAAGCTACCGGCCGACGACTGCCGCCACCTCTCCATGCGACTCGCCTGTCCGCTACTGGAAGGCGAAGGAGCTCTCTGAGGCTTCTCCGCCGACAACTACGAATCTGTGATATTTACGGGGTCGCCCCACGAACGTCGCCCCACGAACGAACGCCCGCCCCGAGGAGGCGAGGACGGCGGTGGCGAGCGGGGAGTGCAGGATTGGGAATGGGAATCTGGCGAAGGGCATTACCGGATTAGGGGAGCTCTGCTCGGCTCGGCTGGATCCTGAGATTGCGATTCCCGCTAGAGCGGACGTCTTCGTTTCAGGGAATGGGTATGGCGTCCTTTTGGATTAGGATTAGGACTTGACTCCCAGGTGATAATAGCCATGTTATCAAAAAAAAAAAAAAGCCCGGGTTGCGGGCGTAGAAATCAACAGGAGAGGCAAAAACCAAAGATAGCATCCTCAAATGTTAGAATCAAAAAAGATGGCACCTCATTGTTAGAATCAAATGTGTAGCTACGTATCCGTATATCCGTAAGCTCTTCTTGTCTTCTTGGTAGATGCACCGTGCAGCGGGTAGACGTCGGTGTCACAGTGTAGAAGACGTCCAGCGAGGTGGCGGTGAAGTCCAGTGGCGCTGGTGGAGAGACGGTGGTCCGGTGGTGACCCTGCAGTGGGGCGACGGCGGTGGTGGGACACATCCCGTCGCTGGCAGCACGGTCTTTAGATCGGTTTAGGGTTATTGTAGGTGGGTGTGGTGGCTCACGGCGAACCTCATAGTCCGAGCCCTCATCCCACCTTCTTTTTATATGTGTTGTGCGACAGGGGCTCACCAACCGGATTAGGGTTGGGCTCCCTCGATCAGGGAGCAGAGATAAGGGTCCAATAGGTCGTTGGGCCTATTGGTGTAGATCAACTAACATTTTCCCCCTTGATCTCATCCATCTTACACTTTCATATCATTTACTTTTGTTCATTCCATTATAGATTAGCGCATAGAGCATGTCTCATCGTCACGGTCCATTGCCGATAGACTTAACAGCTACAACACACTACTCTGTTCTGAAATAGATACTTATCTTTGGGCCTTCTTTTGTCCAGAAATATTTTAGGCTTTCCCTTAAACCCATGCTAGCTACATGTTCTCTGAACACCATGTTCTCTAAACATGTTGGGTGGTAAGCCTTTTATAAGCGGATCCGCAAACATCCTTTCTGTACTTATATGCTCAAGACTTATGACTTGATCCCGGACTTTATCTTTCACAACATAATACTCTATGTCAATGTGTTTGGCAGCACCACTTGACTTATGTTGTGAGCATCATGTAGTGTCAGATTATAATCGCAGTATTACTTTAGTGGTCTATAGATGTCGTCAACCACTTTTAAACCGGGTATGAACTTCGTTAGTTAGTTCACCTGTCCGTTGCCTCATAACACGCTACAAACTATCATACATTCTGGACGATGTAGTGACAGTTTGCTTTTAGTTTTTTCATGAAATAGCTCTCCTTTGCGAGATGATAGAAAATCCACGTTTGGATATGCATTCACTCTCGCATAATCAGAATCTAAATATCCCACCATGTGGAGTAAATCAGATCTTCTATATGTCATCATGAGGCATTTCGTTCATTGCAAATAATGCAAGACTTTCTTTACTAATTTCAATGTTCTATTCCAGAATTGCTCTAGAATCTGCCAAGTAAAACCCGATAACAAATGCCAAGTCAGGGCGCGTACATACTTGAGCATGTTGCAAACTTCCGATAGCTGAAGCATATGGAACCACTTTCACTTTATCGATTGAGCTCATATTGGTTCCTGGGGCATTGAAAATCTCCATATCTGTCGCCCTTGACTATAGGAGCAGGTGAGGGACTACATTTGTGCATACTGGATTTCTTTAAGATCTTTTTCATGTATGCCTTTTGTGACAGTCCTTATACCATTTTTCTTCTATCTCGGTGAATCTCGATCCCTAGAACGAACGAGGCTTCGCCAAGATCTTTCATATCAAATTTCTTTGTCTCCAATAGTAGACTGACATCACTACTAGCAAGTAAGATATCATCTACATACAGGGCAAGGAAGATAAACTTCCCAATCTTAAACTTTGTATTGACACAATTGTCCTCTACCTTCTCTTTACTTTGTATAGACACAATTGTCCTCTACATTCTCTTTAAAACCCAAAATTCTTTATTGTCTGATCAAACTTAAAGTACCACTGTCTTGAAGCTTGTTTTAATCCATAAATAGATTTCTTCCATGACAAAACCTTTCGGTTGTGCCATGTAAATATTTTTCTCCAAGTCTCCGTTGAGAAATGTCGTCTTTACATCCATTTGATGTAATTCTCAATCGTAATGTGCCACTAATGCCATTATGATTCTGAAGGAAACTTTACATGAGACTGGAGAAAAGGTCTCATTGTAATCAATCCTTTCTCTTTGCATATAGCCTTTTTCCACAAGTCGCACTTTATATTTCTCTATATTTCCTTGAGAGCCAAGTTTTGTTCTGTAGACCCATTTACAGCCTACTGTTTTGGCTCCTTTAGAAATTATTTCTAAGTCCCAAACTTTATTGGCATTCATTAATTTCATTTCATCTTTCATGGCCTCAAGCCACTTTGATGAATGATCATTTCTCATGGCTTCTTCAAATGAGGTGCGATCATCCTCCATTTGAAATTTCTTAGTGTTGTACACTTCATAATCAGCAAGAATAGCTGATTTACTAACTCTTTCAGACCTTCTAGGGGCCTCCACATTTGGCACATCTTCTGTTTAAGGCTGTTGTTGCTCCCCCTCATGTGTGACAATAGGTTCTTCAGGATCTTGAAGAACAGGTTCCTCATCGTCATTTATTGTTGCCAGAGGTGGGATAACAACAGGTGCTGGCACCACAGTATCTAATACTGTCGGTGCAGCGACAACAGGTAGTGAGAAAAATAGCTCATGAATCATTGGAGCGGGCGCATACACCCGCTTCATTTCATGGTCAATTTCTCGAGCTACCATGCTCCCTCTCATCAATTCATCCTCTAGAAAGACAGCGTGTCTCGTTTCCACAAACTTTGTATGTCACTCTGGATAGTAGAAATAAAAACCTTTTGACTTTTCTTTGTAGCCAATGAAATGGCAACTTACTATTTCGGGATCTAGTTTCTCAATGTTTGGGTTAAATACTTTAGCCTCAGCAGGGCTCCCCCACACACTCAAGTGTTTAGTGAGGGTACTCTTTCTGTTCACAGCTCATACAGTGTTTTGGGCACCGACTTTCTTGATACTTTATTGAGAATATGAATGGCTGTTTTCAACGCCTCCATCCACAGGCTCAACTATAAGGTGGAGTAACTTATCATACTGCCCACCATATCCATCAGGGTGCGATTGATTCTTTTAGCTACTCTATTCTGCTGAGATTCACTCGGTGTAGAATACTGGGCTACTATGCCATTCTTTTAGGGTATGCCGACCGTAGTACTCCCCACCGGTCAGACCTGACTATCTTAATCTTTAATATCTTAAATTTATCCAATACATCTTTTCTTTCTTTGATTGGGTAAATATAGCCATAATGGGAGTAATCATCTGTGAATGTTATGAATGAATCATAACCATCCACACTCTTTATAGGGAAAGCTGATCACAGATGTCTGTGTGAATAATCTATAAAATTCCTGCGCTTCGTTTGTCATCTTTCTTTACATACTTTCCTTTTATGCATTCTCTGTATTGTTCTTAATCTGAGAACTCTAATGGAGAAAAGAATATCATTCTTAACTAGTCTTTCTATTCTCCTCCTCGAAATATGGCCTGAACGATAGTGCTATGATTTCGACGACGCATTGTAAGCTCTCTTATGCCACCATTATCAGAGTGACTATCTGTCACCAGCTGCTTTCTCAACTGGATATCACATGTCTTTGAAGAGCCAGTGAACTGACTCTTTATTCTATCAAGGTACTCGGTGATCGTGTCACACTCTGAGGATTGAGCCCATAATTGTAAGCTCAATCATGTTCTTTATCATAGTCAAACTTTTTCTTGTTGGTAGTGATTCATTTCCTATGCCCAAGGAATCATAAGATATCTTTTGGGATTCAAAATCTCTCTCTTTAGTTACCCAAGTGGCATCACTCTTTTGTCTCCCTCACCGGTGCCACAAACTCAGTGAAACACTATGAGGTGACTACCCAGTCCATCTTAGACAAGATGAAAACCAGGTTAAAACTTTTGTTAACATAAAAATAACACCATTTGTATGCCTTGATTCCAACGTTGGTTAAAATCAAAACATACAATTATTCTTATACACTAATTCTACATCACCGTTGGGCAGAAATAGAATTAATGCATAAATCATTAACATTATCAACTTTTCTTATACACTAATTCTACATCACCGTTGGACAGAAGTAGAATCAATGCATAAATCATTAAAATTACGATATTGTTATTAACAACGTTGGTCAGAAAATAACAACATCATAATCATATCAAAACTCTTTTTCTCCAATTAAATACCATATTGGTTCAAAATAACTGGAGAATCAACAATTTCTTTAGCAGCGGAAAAACTTTCTTTTTCTCTAATTAAATATCACGTTGGTACAAATTAACTGGAGAATAAACAATTTCTTTGGCTGTGGAAAAACTCTCTTTTCCTTTAATTTTATCCACGGGGAAAATTGCTTTTTCTATTTCCTTTAATCCATTAATCAATTTCCAGGAAATAAACATTTACTGAAAAAACTTTCCTTTTCTCCAGTTAAATATCATATCTGTTCAAAATCACTAGAGAATGTACTAACTCAATTTCTTGAATTTTACCCATAGGAAAAATTACTTTTCTATTTTTCTTTTGAGCCAATTTGCATATTCAATTTTCCAGAAAAAATAAAAAATGAAACTGGGCTCTTGCTCTTTACTGTTTTGGCCTGAAACGACCCACGGCCCACAGCCGCACGCGCCCTTCCCGAGCGCTCACCCGTGCCCAGGCCGCAACCTGGGCCTGGGTCGAGAAAGTGGCCTCACACC